GGCCAAATGACCCCGTAGACTCACGCAGCGCCACGAAGGGCAGGGCAGACTCCTCGGCTCTAAGTGCAGTTTTCATCCCGACCATCAGCGGATGTGGATCAATGGCCAGTTTTACAGCTTTGCGAACTTGAAATGACTGAGCAAATAAAGACGGCTCAGACTGTCAATCAGAGACTATTAGTCAAGAAATTCCTTCACTAAACCAACCCCCCCCCCCACCGCCACCGCCCCCCCCCCACCTCCAACACCACACACACACAGACCACGTACACAGAGTGATGGAGGAGGCAGAGTGAGCAGGGGTGGAGTCGATGGAGTCGTGGGAGAGATCCTAAAATGAACCGGCTCTGGGAGGAGAAGCTGCGGTTCGTGGAGTGGACTTTGGTCCTGACCACTGTTTGGCGAGTCGAGAACCCCGCGAATATCAAGAGCGCGTGATGGGCTTGGGACCCGCGTCGGTTCGGGAGGATGTTCTCCACTCACTTTCATAGAATAGTTTTTTTTTTCTTCCCTCCTCGTGGTTGAAGTCGAGGTTGTTTTTGTTTTTTCGTTTGAGTGAAGAGATTTGCTGATGTTTGGACAAACGCTCTGGTGCACAGGAAGTAGTGGCAGCAGCAGCAGCAGCAGCAGCAGCAGCAGCAGCAGCAGCAGCAGCAGCGTGTGAAGTGTTTGGATGGAAGCTGCTCTGTCCGAACACTTTCTGAAAGAAAGAAGATTTTCTTGGTCGCCGAGTTTCTGCACAGGTTAGAGCTGATGCCCCGCAGCCACGATGGGGCTGGACGGCATGGAGGTACTAGCCATCGTGGTTGTGATCGGACTCTTTATAGTCGTACTCAAACAGTTTGGGATCTGGGAGCCTCTGTCCTTGGAAGGTAAGACGGCGGCGTTGGGATCAATCCCACGATCTCCTTAACTGGAGAGTAGACTTTGGAGAAACTAGACCATCGTCTGCGTATACGTTGATCCTCTTCATGATCTCCACAATCAGGCGCTTGTTTAACTGTTGTTTATTTTCGCGCTAACTGTGCTGCTAAATGTTCGCAACTTCACAGGTCGGTGATTTTAACGGTGCTGTAACTTTTCTTTCTTTACACCCTTCCCCCTTCCTCCCCCCTTTACTCCCTCCTCTGTCTTTTTCAACTTTTCTATTTCTCGTACAGATGGTGAGTACGTCTCCAGCTGTAGCTAACATTTTAATTATATTTAACCTTTAACCTTTGGCTGATTCAGTTGAGCTTTGAACTTTTTTTTTAAGTTGTTTCTAATGAAATTCATTACAAATAAACTCATTTAGCTTCGACCTCGTTGCCCCGCGTTGGCTGTTGGCAAGAACGACTCACTGTTTATTTCTGCCTCTTTATTTAACTGTTGACGTTTGGTGAAAGTTTGGTTTTGGCAGTTAAATTATTTCTGTTGAATTTTAAAAATTCAAAAAAATCCGTTTTTTCCCGCCTTTTTTTTTTTTTTACCCAGTCGGCACTCGAAGTCGGAGAGTTTGTTTTAGTGACGGTCGGATTCTACTTCCTGGATCATCATCGTGCAAAAAAAAAAAAA